AGCCCTACAGGCCTGGGGCAAATATGCCAACTGCCAATTAACTTACTAAACTTGCCAAAACCATTAAAACTCTTTAAACCCTAACCAAAACCATAACCTGTAAGCTCTATAAGCCCACTATTCATTATAAGTTTCAGGTTCTAGATCCAATAAACCATAAGCTCGAAAGCTCTAGACGCTCGCACACCCTCAAAACCCTAAACAATCGCAAAAGCCTTCAACACTCTCAAGTGCTCATCAGCAGGAAAATCACACGACACGCTGAACGCTCGCAACAACCTTCAACACCCTTGAAAATTCTCAACACCCCAAATGTCCTCAATACATGCAAACAGCTTCAAACCCTCACCTACCTGCAAACAAAGTCAACACTCGCAGAACCTCAACACCTGCACAAACCGCCCAAACACGGAACAACCGTAAGATCTCAACACCCTCAGCACCTGCAAAAACCTTCAACACCCTCGAGAAATACCACAAAAACTCTAAGTCGAAGCCTTGAGCACGAGCAACACCCTAAGCCGTCTCAAACCCGTAAACACCCAAACCATTCAAAATCCCCATGCAACCCTCAAACCTCCAAAGCCCTGAGTACTGCAACCCGCCAAAGCAGAAACCGAGCAAGCACGCAAGCAAACCAAAGCAGCGCTCGCAACTCATAACCACAAACCCACGACAAAACAACATTGTCACCACTACCCTCCACAGCTACCGGCACAAACATCGGAAAAGAACAACCCAAAACACTCCAGAAGGGTGGACCAAGCTCACTCGCCGTGAGTCTCACCCGTCTCTCAGCATCTTGGACGTGCCATGGAAGCCAAACCAAAGGGGTCTCCACAGTGTCGGCCATGGAATTGCTTCCCCAAAGCGCGCTGCCAAGAAAGAGGCTTTCAACCACAAGTCTCAGCCCCACTCACCTTCGACACCTCAGTGTTCGTAGTGGTTACCGACACAGGGCCAGCCGAGCTTCCTTTGGTGAGCGATGAACTGCAAGTGCTTGGCGTCGTAACTGTCGTCCGTCACCATGCGCCAGCACACAAAAAGGCCCGCCAGCACAAGGAGCAAAAAACACCCGAGCACACAGAACCACACCAGCCACATACCAACAAGCACATTCAGCAAGCAAGCAACTCTGAGCCGTAAACAACTCCAAACCCTAAACAACTCGCAACGGATGCACCGTAAATCTAAACCCTAAACTTCAAACAAGCCTTACTCAAACAAACCCTCCCAAACAACACTGGCCGTAAGCGCCTCGCTCTGGCTGCGAAGGTGTGGTGTGTCTCCTCTGACTCAGTGTTTCAGCTTTTGGACGATTCGTGGTTCGCGGTTAAGCTTTCAGGTGTGATCTTGTAGAAGTCCAAAAGATTCTATTTCCTGTCCATGAGTTTAAGGGTTACAAGGCTACCGAGGCTGCTTCAGCCATCTTACAGATTTCAATCAAGGCCTTCTCTATCTCGAACCCCACCATTATGTGACGTGAACCTCCTTTGTTAGAGAAGTCTCTGCTTGGAGTTTGGGTTTTGTGGTTTCAGGGTTTGCATTCCTTTGTTGAAGTAAGGAGCTTTGACTCGGAAAGCATCAGCATGAAATCCCTAAACAAAAACCATGACAACTCAATTAGCTCAAACGGGTTTTACATGATGCCATCACTTGCATACGTAGGGTCTTGGAGAAACCCGATACTGCGATTTCAAGAACGAAACCCTAAACCCTAAACCCCTAAAGCCTTGACTTAAATCCCAAGCCCTACACCCAAACTGAAACCTCTGAACCCTCAGTGGGGGAAGGCAGACGACGCAAAGGGCTTCGGACGCCGGCCTAAAGCTGAACAACCAAAAGCATCCGGCGCAAACCCATGGATAGGGGCATTAAACAATCAGAATGGAGTATGCCACACCAGATAATGTATGCTACTCGGTATTATTGGGGACTCTGTGTTAATCTCTGGGCCCCGGCGATGATGGCTCCAGTCGACTCTACAAGCAGGGTACTGTTGAGGCTGTACGGCCGAGGGCTTACAGGATTTAGAGTGGGCACAAGCGCGGGCAACCCGAAATCCTTAGCTCTAAAGGCTCTCCAGTCCACTCATGTGTCTTCTATCGGAAGCATTCCATTCGCTTGTCCGCAAATACGCTTTTATGTATATGCCTACTTTGCCATGCATATAAACGCAAATGCGTAAACTTAGGGCCTTCCACCATCTGCCAGTTCATAGAGGCTCAGCTGAGGCAAACGCCATACCCAACACCACGAAGAGAGCTGCTACTGCTGCCGCTTCTACTCCTCCAACTAGGTAGGTGGCTGACCTGCCGCCCTGCCTTTTGGCACATTCCCAAAACCCAAAACTAGATAATTTACCGGGTTTCGGCTCCGAAGGGCTATTTTGTGAGGTTATCGAAGTTAGCAAAAAAACATGACCATATCATATGTCAAAAATGTAAGGATGAGTGTAAGAAGCGCACACTCTGTTTTCACACTGCGTTCGAACCCCAGTTCGGCTGCACACTAGTGCCAAAGCGCACATTATCATGGTTGGCCCGTGGATATTCTTCGGAAGTGGATGATATCATGGTTGGCCAATGGATGCTCGGTGGGAATGAATGGAGTCTGATTTGAACATTACCATGGTTGGCACATGGATGCTCTGCGGGAATGGATGGAGTCTAACCTGGACGTTATCATGGTTGGCACATGGATGCTATGTGGGAATGGATGGGGTCTGATCTGGACCTTAATTGTCATGGTTGGCACATGGATGCTCTGCGGGAATGGATGGGGTCTGATCTGGACGCTATCATGGTTGGCACATGGATGCTCGGCGGGAACGGATGGAGTCTGATCTGGACGTTATCATGGTTGGCGCATGAAGTCTCAACGGGGATGGATGGAGTCTGATCTGGGCGTTATCATGGTTGGCACATGGAGGCTCTACGGGAATGGATGGAATCTGATCTGGACGTTACGAAGGTGGGCACATGGATGCTCTGCAGGAATGGATGGAGTCTTATCGTGGTTGGCACATGGATGCTCTGCGGGAATGGACGGAGTCTAACCTGGACGTTATCATGGTTGGCACATGGATGCTCTGCGGGAATGGATGGAGTCTGATGTGGACCTTATCATGGTTGGCACATGGGTGCTTTGCGAAAGGACAGAAACAGCAACAAAAGAACGGCGAATAACCCGTAAAAAATGCGGTCAAAACGGCCCTTTCATCATAAAGCGCGCTAACAAACAGCAAAACCTCGAGTTTCGGACCCAAAAAGAGCAAAATCACAATGCAGGCAAAATCAGCAAAGAAGCACGAACGAAACACACAAGCAGAGAGCAGATGTTCAAAAACCCGAAGAAAACGCACGCTGCAGACCAAAACCTCGCAACAGCAACAACGAAAAGAGGCCCAAAAAGGGCATCCAGGCGGCGTGTCAGCCACCTGCCAACACCTACTACTGCTACGACGACGACTACAACGGCCCCTGCCACTACCAGGACCACCTCTGTGACGAGTGTACCCAAAGGCTTTCCTATGCTTTTCTGTTGGTACAACTCAATGAACCTCAGCAAGCTCGCTCGAAAACCCGACGAAACTTGACTCAAGCCTACGCCCTAAATTCTGCATCGGAACACAGTCTCTGAACTCCTTCCAAACCCTTAACAAAGACCCTAAAACTCGCCTTCACCCGCGAGACGGCGCCTCAGAGTTGTTCAGCGACCTGGGCTTCGGGAGTCGGTGTTCTGTGGAGGATATACGGTTTCGGGGTGTAAGGTTGGGTTTTAGGTTTGAGGGTTTTTTTGAATTTCGGGTTTGGCGGTCCAGGGTCATGACGGTCATGACTTGTGAACTTGCATGATCAGTACCATGATGAAGCTTCCTGTTACGACAAGCCCTTCTTCGATCAATGTCATCACCAAGTTCCGGGCTCAGAATTCAGGGTCAGGGGTTTGGACTTCGCGGCTCCACGCTTAGAGGTTTCGGGTTCCCGCTCCGTATTCCTGACTGTCCGCTATTGCAGCTCCATTTTGTCAGCCGTGACTATGATGCCACCTTTTTGTTTTAGTCCTGAACCCATAGCCCTACACCCTCAATCTTCAATTTACATTAACTCAGCTTTAAGCCCTGAACTCTACACACAACAAGCACCCCCTGCAGAAGAGGCCGTCTGCTCTTCGGTGTCGGCTACACGTAGCAGCTTTGACCGAATGTGGCTTGGGGGTGAGGAGCTGCCTGGGTATATGCTTGGTATACCTGAACCCTAAGACTTCCTAAACGCTAGAGTGTTTAATGGGAAGTCTCCGGCATTGCCAGGTTGCATTGAGAAAGCAAAAGGCGTGAAGGTTCTACCATCAAAACTCATGAAGCTTGATTAGACCAGGGTTTCTGCTCTATCTCAGGGCTTCTACAAAGGTCGAGTACTGCGGCCTTATATACCTGAATTAAAACCCTAAACTCTAAACCCTACCAACACGCACAAAATCCTTAACACCTACAACACACTGTACATGCAAAAAACCTCAAAACTTTCAAACCCTAATCGCCTCGTCACAGCCCTCAGCACCCACAAGAACCCCTTCTGAAACGCTCGGGTCCTAAACTCCTACACCCCTGACCCCTAAAACCAAAACCCCAAACCCTCAAGCCAAAAACCCGACACTTGACAAACACAAGAAAATGCCAGCCCTGTTGTTGTCAATTTGTAACCCCTTAAAACCCCAGAACTAGACTCACTAGAAGCCCCGACAGGCTCGCAAACCCGATACAAAGCCCAGGTTTAAGTAAGGAGCTTACTTATGCTATTTGAGGCTTTAAAGAAGGTTTGCCACGGGTCTAAAGGTGGTCAACACGTGTTGCAACGGCTTAGGAAGTGGTTGCAACAAGGTTTGACGTGGAGTTAAAGCCGGCCAAGGCATGGCTTAATCAGAGCCAAAACACTAACTAACACCCAACCCCGAACCCTTTCCTCACGCTTAAACCAAAGGCCCATGCAGCTGGACTTTCACATGATCGTCATCTGCCTCAGCGCTAACATATTCCAAAAGACAAGCGATCCCCCATGATGAGACAGTGGACGATGCTCCCACCCTTAACCTTAAACTCCTTACACCTTACATAACCTGCTGCTAGCCAATTTTGGCAAAAGGTTCCTTGGGAGCTTGAGAGATTTGTCATGATTTTGGTGGTTGGGGCAGTTGCAATTACAGATGCCGCGTGCGTCCAGTGTGCGACCCTGGCCGCTACAACATGGCCTGCGCGGCTACAAAAGCTGAGCCGCTTCGATGGAAGATTTGGGGATGCCAGGCGAAAGTTCCAGGGCTTGTGGGTTGGGGTTCGGACTTTGGGGTCTTCGGATTTACGATTTAGGCGGGACTTCGAAGCCAGCTCTGCCCGACATGAAGGCCAAGGCAAGCAAATCCATACCCAGAGCGCCAAGCCTCCAAATCCAAAATGATCTGCCAGCTTCTCCCAAACTCTGATGCTTGCGACGTGCATCGGCTGAGCGCTATGTAGCATGAAACCCTAGGGCCGACCATTACTTGGAGGAGTTATTGCGTTTAAGTATCGTCAGAAGAAGTTTTTGTGCCGTCTGGTTAACGGTTTCGATGATTTGCGAACCATAACCCCAAATCCTCGGGCAGCATGGAGCACACAATCGACACATGCTAAACTGGGCTTCCTTAGATACGTCTTAGGCCACGTGGGGTTTAGGAGCTGCAGGGCCATCGGATCGGGGGAATGAAAAGACATCATGGAAAGCCGCTAGACATTGGCCTTCGTTGCCTGCAGCCCTACGTGACGAGTTCGAATAAAACGTGATAGCACGTCGAGCATCTATCATCCGAAGGTTGAGGTCTGCGCCGCTTCCCGGCACGCATTGCTCCTGGTCTGCGTTTGGCTACCATTGCACCGTGGACAACATGGAGGGTTCACCCTCTATCTTGGAGGAATTGGGTAGGGGTAGGGGAAGCGGACGTTGGAGTTAAGGATTGAAGGTTTAGGGCCTCCGGTTAAGATTTAGGGCTTAGTGCTGAGGGTTTTCTTTGCAGCGGCAGGCAAAGCCTCGAAACCCGCGAGCGACAGGAAATTACACCAAACTTCACCAAACCCTTCTCATTCAGAATCTGAAAAGCCGAAGTCCTACTCCCAAAGCCTACGGTAAATCCTAACCCTGTAGACCGTAAGCCCTTACTGGAAGTTCTGTGTACACTGAAGACAGGCCTAAGCCCAAAAGCATTACCTAACTCCGAAGTGCAAGAACATCAAGTATAGAACCCTATTGTAAGATATATGTACGTGCATATGTATGTGTATACATATATATATATATATATAAATGTATATATATATATATATATATATATAGCGAGAGAGAGAGAGAGAGAGAGAGAGAGAGAGAGAGAGAGAGAGAGAGAGAGAGAGAGAGAGAGAGAGAGAGAGAGAGAGAGAGAGGGAGAGAGAGAGAGAGAGGAGAGAGCGAGAGAGAGAGAGAGGGAGAGCGAGAGAGAGAGAGAGTAGTGCATCAACCAGCGCACTCCTCTGATCTGGAAGCAAGGACTGTAGGAGGCAGGGAGTGGGAGAGGGAGGGAGGAAGGAAGGGCCTCGAGACCCTTTCAAGGGCCTGAAGCCCTTCTGGACACTTCTAACAACCCTTCTGATTCAGTATGGTACGCTCTTGCGGCATGTGTTTGTGGCAATCGTATCTAATTGTGCGTAACCACATTCTTTACATCTTTTAGTGTCCCTTATGCTTGTAGAACCCTGATTTCGTGTCCGAGGCACCACGGATCCCAAAGCCTTGGAGGTGCCGATGGCCGCAAGCCCGACCACGCTGCAGCCAAGGAAGAAAGTCTGGGCAGGCCCGAACTAACATAGGAATTCATTCCTTTTCCATTTGAGGTGTGCCTTCAGGGTTTTCGGGTGTGGGGCTTTGGGGATTTCAGGGTGGTTTTGGACAGGTGCGGTTTAGAACAAGTTTAAGCTTTGGGGTTCAACGCTTTCGTATTTCGGGATTCAAGGCATATGCCAACGTGACTCTTACTATGAATAAAACTATGACTATCGCCTTTTTCCTCGGGCCTTGTCAGGTTTAGAAGCGCTCCTGTGATTCGACGTCCAACAACAGCGTCATGTAAGGACTAGCAACACTGTGCAGCGCTCGCGCCATTGCTAGTACTAGTACTAGCACTCATACCAGAAACGCCTTGTCCACTAAACAACTCGGCAAGAACGGGTTAGCTGAGAGGCGCGTCTTTGCTCGCCTGTCATCTCCGCAGTGTGGAAGCGCTTGTAAGAGTGTGCCTGGGAAGCTGCGAAGCTGATGTCGATGCAAGAGCAGCAAGCACTTTGAAACGTCAAATCCGCCAATCGCAAACCCTAAATACAAACTGCGTGCAACTGTGGCTAAAACTAGAACGCGAAATCCCGAAACCGCAACACACGCATTCCTTGCCGAAGAGCAAAGGCCAAAGAGATTCCCTGAAACACAAACCGTTTGCAAAGCGAAAGCTCCGTTGGATTTCAGAACGGTAGGATTCAAGATTGAAGGTTTCCCGGCTTTGAATTGTCTTCAAGGATTTTAGATGGGTTTTGATCAAGTTTGCTTTCGAGCGCAGGAACCCCTTCGTGATTCTGCCAGAAACCCTTTTGGAGCCCTAAAGGCCCTAAAGCCCTAACCCGAAACCCTTAAACTCCCAAAGCCTGAACCCACAACCCTGAACCACCACCCTACACATTCCAGAGCAATCATCAAGACCTTGCACCCAAACTCAGACCGGGGCATCGCTTCAAGCACGGCCCGGTGCCCAGCCACGTTGGCCTGGGAGCTAAGAACGACCAGCCTCGGAGACCGAAAGGTAGGTTTGGGGCGTTTTCGGAGCTTAGGAGTTCTGGAGTTTCGAAGTTTCGATCTAGGGGTTGGGGTATTCGGGGTGTGATAATCCTTTCGTCGGTTGGGGTTAACCACCTGAGCCGGCTGGTCGCGTGAAACCCCAGGCCCCAAGTCCCGGACCATCGATCGATAAAACCTACCAGTAGAACTCCAGCCCGTCCCGAAACCCAGTGCCCAAACCGCTTCATCCCGCTCAAGCAACAGCCGTGGAACTTCTGGGCGATGGTGATGCCAGCAACCGCAGAGACCTGGGCTAGAGAGGCCAGGGCGCTAGAAAAGCCCCGACGTCCTGGAATCTTGAACCCTGATCGACGAAACGTCTCGTTGGTAGAGCCTGGCATCTGCAACTTGCGGTTTGTGGTCTGGCTGTTTCAAAACAAAGGAGAGGTCGGACTCAGACTGCCTGTTTCAGGTTCAGCTGTCACTAGGCCGGGGTCTCGTTTTGGGCCTTTATTGCAGGCCTCTAACTCTAGTCTTGAGGGGGCTCGAAAACCAAAGCTCATCTTTGTTTAAAGGCTACCTGGGGAGGTCTGAAATTCCCATATCACTCTGATGGTCGCGTGTTTAGGGGGTTTCCGGGGCTTCGGGTTTCGGGCTATGGGCCTTCGAAGTTTGGGGCTTTGGGTGCTGTTTTCAATAGGTCCGAATGGGATTCAGGGTTGAAGCTCATCTTGGAATTCAAGTTAATCAGGTGTGAAGCGCGGCGGGACTTGCAAATCGAAAATGATGAGGCTTCAGGATTCAGGATGCCTTTACATACTAAGTATCTTTAACACAAGGGCTTTTGTTTACGAGAAGCATGGCAGACTGTCAACCTCTACAATACCATACCCAGGCCTGATATGGACAGTCAATGAAACTAATGGTAAAGAGCAACGAATCAAGTCAACAGAATTAATTTGATAGCAAGTCTTGGCACGGGCTTGCAATTCATGATCGAAAAGTTCTGCGCAGCTGCCTCTAGACCCTAGAGCGAAGAGAACCTGGCGGCACGTGTCGAGGTGCAGAGTAACGGAGGATTTGGAACTTGGGTGATCGAAACCTTTGGGGTTGTGCTTGGCAGGAACAGCGAGTGGCTAGGTGTGGAGCCAGTGTCCAGAATGGAATGGATTGCTGAGACTTCGCCTAGCCGCCGAAAAGCCAAGAAACACAACTCTACAAGCAAAGCCTTTTGTTGCACAGGCCCAGACTGCCAAAACATCACGGCCCCACAACCCAAGATCACAACCCAAAACCCTAGAACCAGCGATTGCGACTGTTCCTGCGACTAGAGGCCCGACTCATAGTCCATTTTAAGCTTTGGGGCCCAAGGTGACAGGTTTAAGCTCGGTCGGGTTAGGCATTTTCGTTGGCATGGTTCTGCGAGGGTCTTGGGGCTCAGAGTCCCGCCTGGCTAAACACATGCTAATGCAGGGCGGAGTTGTGGACTGCTACTTGTACAGCGCCGCAACTAAGCGCCTAGGATCCCTGCTCCCACAATCAGCGCTTAGAGGCTTGGGGTTTTTTAGATGCAGTCCCGCTATTCCCCTGTATCCTGCACTGTTGCAGCCGCAATTTTGGTCACAGTTTTTTGGATCAGGCGATGATGGAACTCGGGAGGTTAATCGCTTGGCAGGCCGGGCCGTAATGCTTCAATCCCGAAGCCCTGTATTACCCTAGTGCTTGTGAGCAGAAAGCGCATGGATCCTCGAAGTCACGCAGGGTGTTAGGTTCACAAACGCATTGAGGTATCAATTAACGAGCTGAGGGAGGTACTCCAGCTCCACGGCGAAGCTGCGGGTGCCGTTGCTGTGGTGGCAGTCCCAAGGAGGAGCCCACCACCTTTTTGAAGACTTTGGGGCTTTCGGCTGAAAGTTTTACTGACAGCATCCTACTGGCACGATGGCCAAGCTGTAAGACTGTAAGCCCTTGCTTAAGCTTGCTGACCTCCAGTCCGCCCACTAGGCGGTCCACAGGAGGACACTAAGCAAAGATCTATATGAACCATGCCCACGTTTGCCCCCATGGGGCTGCCTTACAGTCTGCTGGGTTACGGCTTAGCTCAAGGCTTTGGGGGTCTTTGGCTTTCCAGCGGTCGTGGCTTGTAGAGTTCGGGCATTCTTCAAAGCCTTACTTTGCATCTGGCGGCACAGAACCCAACCTTTATTAAATACGAGCCAAGCTTGATGGCCTCTCTGCTCACAGACATCGACCCCTTTCACCATAACTTGGAGAAGGGAGGTTGAGGAATTGTGCAGCTCTCCGACAGCGCATGGCGGACAATCGAACGCCTTTTCCGCACGGTTAGCCGGCCACTGAAGCGGAAATACTGCCCAAAAAGCCGCGCGAGAAACCACTAAGAGGTGCCATCCGTTGGACCTACGGTTGGCCCTCAGGTGGCTTTGGTAAAGCGGGCCTTTGACACTTGGGCGAACCATCCTGCCAAGCCTGAGTACTGGAAGGGAGTCATGTCGAGGCCCTTCTGTTTGTAGACGTCTTGCAGCGGTTGGAAGAGCGGCAACCGTAGGCCGGGGTATTGTCGCCGCGACTTGGGCGCAGGGCCCGTGTAAGCATACCTGGTCAACACGAAGCACGCCAGGCAGGTGACAAAAACCGCAGAAGAACTCCCCAGCTCCACCTGAAACTTGAGACTCTGAACACATCACTGCAAGCGGCAATCTCTTGAAAGCCAGGCTGCTGCACCACCGGAGCTTGACGCATGATCTTGAGCCCCAGGGCAAGGCGACACTGCCCGGGCTTCAGCGGGTCCTTATCCGTGCCGTGGAGCTCATGCTGTCGCACCACCAACCTCGGCTTTGGCAAAAACCCACAAAATCTTGTCATTGCTCTCCGAGCTCATGCGCCCTGCAGCCGCCCTGGACATTCAAAAACATCCCCAGAGTTTTTCTGACCTCGATCGCAAACTCCGAAAGCCTCACACAGCCCAAAAAACCCAAACCTCCCACAAGAACATACCGTCTAACATCCCTAATCCCTTGTAAAAAAGCCGTCCAGGCTGCGCATCGCCCACGGTGAGATCGAAACGCTTCGTCTTCAGCTCCAGGCCGCCCGGTAGCGCCGTGAGCCTCATTGTCCACCTGGTCAGGCTCGGTTTTCTTGCCTCTTTGAATGAGGTCTAGGGTGTAAGGGGTTCAAGGTGTAACGGGCTTACGATTCAGAGTTGGTCTTGCAAAATCTTGTTCTCTTTTTGTTCTTCGATGAAAGGACAGAGCAACAGTTCTGTGCCGTGCGGTGCGAGCCAGGGATCCAAAGCTGAATCACTGGGAGGTGCAGAGTTGCGTGCGCGAATTTTCGAACAGCTAATCGACGCGAGCCCTAAACAGCACAGACGAACCCCTAAACACTCCACAGTCTAGTTGCGAGAGTTAGAGGCCCTACACGTAGTGAACCCCTAAATGCTCTGAAGGACTTGGCCTTGCCTTGTCTGACGCTACTCCGAAAATTGCAAGGGTCCGCAAGGATCTTCTCTCTTAAAGAGGGCCAAATTCAATGACTAATGTGCCAGCGTTTTGTCAGAACCCGCCCACCCTGTGAAGAACAGCAGGCCGCGAAAAAGCCACGAGGGAAGAACCTTCTTGACCCGCAGCATCCAAGCTTGTGACCTTGTTTTAACAAGGCACATGGTATCTCTGCAGACATTGTCGTTCGTGCGATGTTATCTTACATGTTGTACTTGCTGCCCGAATTTTTCAGTAAATAGCGGATTCTCTTGCCACTCACTAGCTGCCACTTAGCTTATATTATTTGTATGCATGGCACCCCACAAAGATAGCTATACACTCGCGGGGATATCATTATGATTGGCTCAACATAGAACGACACTGCGAGCCTCGTATTAACATTGCATTCGTGATGAAGGAAGCAACACACGTTTCCAGACACGCGGCGTCATCCACCACTTCATGCATAGGACGCCGAAGGCCATCGCCAGAACCCTGGTGCTCTTCCACTCGTAAAGCACGGGCCACAGGCCCAGGGGCTCCCAAAAGAGGATCCCGGCACAGCCTTTCTTCTTCTGAGGGTCCTGCTCCGGAATCAGCCAAGTGCTTTGGCGGGGCAGCTTCACGAGTGGGTAGAGGTCCGGGTTCTCCTCCTTTACAAAGATGTCGAACGAGTAGGGCATGTCCTTGTGGTCCAAGAGCATCCATAAATTGAAGCCATCATGCTGTTTTGTGACCCAGAAGTCGGAGTCCATATGAACCCGCTCTGCGGCCACATTGGTTGAGGAGCGCCAGGACCAAAAGTCGTTGAAGATCACGTAACCACTTCCAAATTGCTTCTCTATGATTTTGCCGATTTTTGCAAGAATGTCCTCCAGACGTCCGTCTCGCTCACGACCATTGAGGTAGCGCAAGAGCGTGTAGTACTCGAGCATCCTCCTTGGCCTTGGTCGGCCCTCGGCCAGCGCCTTCGCCTCATCCGCCTCCCACTCCTTCTCAACGATCTCCTTGAAGAGGTACTTCAAATAGTCCACGTCTTCTGGCGCCAGCACTGATGGGAGAATGCGCGGGAAGTCCTCACATGGGCTTCTCCAGGCCATGGTGCATCCTCAACGCCAAGGACAGCTAGAGATGCCAGCTGAATACCTCTTGACTTTTGCAAGAGCAAGAGCCTGGCTGAGATATCGCGGGGTGAACGTTCTGGCAGCACTAGGGTGTGGGAGATTAGGCATCCGGAATCGGTTTGCTTCAACACTGCTTACAGGTTTAAAAAGCTTTTCATCTTGAGATGCCGGCGTTTCTTGGCAACTAACTAGACGGGTTTCATGAATCTGCACCACGTGGCACAAAGGCCTTCAGCTCCCCAGGCGATGGTCCCAAGTAAGCCAGCATCGCACGAATTAATGCAGGATTCCCTAAACATGTGCCACCAGGCAAGGAAGGTCACAAGATCTCCAAAGCTTCCGCATGACTAGTCGTGCAACAACCCGGGGATCAGTCCGTTCAGCATGGATGTCCCCTCCCTCGAGAGCCTTCATTGCCTTCATCGCGGGAGCTTGCGCGACATCCGCCTTTTTCTTCATGGCCTGTAGCCAAGGCTTCGACAGATCGTACCTAGAGATCGCACTCTCACCCCCAAGCTGTGTAGCTAAACTTGCTGTACCCGCGCCTCAAAAGCACGAAAAGATCCTTGCAAGCCAGCCATTCGATCTAGTAGGAACCCTGCTGATGCTAAACTCACAATGTACTTTGGGCGCACGTGACGCATTACCGTGCTTGAAGACAGCAGCCACGGTTTGAGGCCTTCTTTAAGGGTCCTGAGGATGCGTGCACACCAACATCGCTGAGGTCATCTGGTGAGCTTCACGCAATGACGCAGGGAGAATGAGAAAGCCGCTCGCTTGCTTCGGGGTTTGTTCAGGGCCTTTGCAGCAGTATTGGCGGCACCCTTGCAGAAAGCACATTTCTACACACGCCACAAACACAACGCATCCGGCCTTCATTTCATGGCCTGCAAGCAACAACTTATGATGCCTCAGGCTTCTGTTAAAGTGCAGCCAGCAAAGCCTAAAATACGTTTTTGCCACTTGTAGCAAAGCGGGCTTCAGAGTGCAGCAAACGAAGCGTGCCACTTGCACAGAAAACATGGCGGAGGGAAACAACAGGTCGGTTGCCCTTATTGCCTTCATGGGAGCCATGGCGACTGCGGGGAAGGCACAAGCGAGGCGTGAGAACTCGAGGGGCTGCGGCAGGCGACTCTGTGACACAGAAGCAAGACTTCAAGTGTACCGTGGTGCTGCCTCACCCGAAAGAAGCTTTCTCCACAACTAAAAATGTAACTTCCCTTGCACACGCGCACACACACTCACACTCACTCTCCCTCAATCAAACAAACACACACAGACAAACACACACACACACAAGAACACACACACACACAAACACACACACAAACACACACACACACACACACAAACCCACAAACACACACACACACAAACACACGCACAGACAAACACACACACAAACACAAACACACACACACAAGCACAAGCACAAGCACAAGCACAAGCACAAGCACAAGCACAAGCACAAGCACAAGCACAAGCACAAGCACAAGCACAAGCACAAGCACAAGCACACACATACACTTTCAAGACTGAGCACTGTCGGATGGATGCTAGTTACAAAGTGTGTGCTGGTTGTGCCGTGAACAGTTTGAGCCATGCTAGTCCGATTGCAGCTACCGTGCTTCATGTGCATGCTGCAAAAGCTGTTGTGGTTACCTCGACGGGTGTGGCAAAACCTGGAAGAACGCTGATCTTGCTGCCTCACAGCGCCAGCGTTTTCTAAACTTGCTACCTCACGAGGCCCAGACACACACCCACACACACTGATGGATTCGGCCAAGAGTACGAGTGCAAGAGGAAAAAGAGAGGCATGTTGTTCATGTTGTAAAAGTTTGTCAGATTGTGGCAACCGTACAACTTGTTTGTATAATCTGGACACCACAGGGGGCCTGTCCTCACACTAATCTTGGCACCACAGGGGGCTGCCGAAAATTGCGCAGGTACATGACTGAGCGTCCTCAATCACTTCCCTTCCAGTGACCTAGCTTCGTTGGATCAGGTCAGTCACTGGAAGCCTGATCCCCCTGCAACATTTGAATCGTTAAGTGTCAAATATCTGATTGTGTTGCAAAGCAAAATTGCAAGCAGTGTAGGAGTGACCCTCTGCTCCCATGTACTAGGGAGGTTCACACACACACAGCCCCAATGGGGCGTGTATGCTTCAAGTAGAGTGAAATGTCTGATCCATGGCAAAAATAGTGATTGGCGCACTTTTCTCGCTGTCACTAGCGGTCGGGTGATTGTCGTGTTTCCTGATCCGAACATGTTCTAACAAAAAGCACCGGCTTCAGCGTGGCTAATGTGGTGACTGAATCCCAATCATGTAGTCGTCGACGGTTTTGTTCGAAGAAGAAAGCAGGGATTTTAGGAGTTCTGCCGGTGATCTCCTTGATGCGGTAGGAGAAGATCTTGCGAGCTTGTAGAACGTTGTCACCCAGACAAAGCACCACGTGTAAGAGCATGTGCTTGTCTCTGGTAATGCGGTCGGGTGGAATTTCAACAGTCATCCGAAAACATTGTCCTGCCATGGAGTACCATGGAAGGCCGGCCTCAGCAGCCTTTCGCTTTGTCATGTTTTGCTGCTACCAACCGACAAACGCTTGAACAAGGAATGCAAAACAACATGGACATGCTGTGTGCTCAGGAGACGCAACCAAGTAGTGTCTTGCTGACACTCGCATGCGAAGGCTTTTTTGTCACGCTTAGCGGAACTTGCAGCCCTAATCCGTCCTGAGAATTAGGTTCCAACATCGAGATTGTTGGGACAGTCGCTCATGATCTTGAAATGGCATCTACATCTGAAACCTGCACGTACCAGCATTTTTGCACAAGCGGTTTTGGACCGCTTATGTTGAATGATAGGATGCACAACATCGTAAGGTGCAATCGAGTCAGAAGACCAAGGATCTCGCGATGGAGATCGGTGTGCGTCCTCAGCCACTTGTGACGTTGCCGTAGGTGAAGCTGATGATGTTGAGTGCGAAGAGCGTGTCCTCTTTCGTCTTGTAGTATGTGGATGTTGGCGTTGTTGCTGTGTTGTGGAATGGGATGCTGGTGAAATGTTGCGTGTTTTCTTTGTTTTCACGACTGTTCTGTCCTTTTTGTCTTTGTTGTCTTTCTTCTTTTTTGTCTTCGTTGTGTGCTTTGTTTTTTGCTTGTGTGTGTGACTGACTGCATGGGAGGATGTGGCGGTGTCATCCTTCCTCAGAAAAGCATCAATCTCTTCGGATCCCCATAGGCTGCTGTCGTCGTCTTCGTCCATATGTGTGCGATCCTAAATATGTTACAACAACTGTAGTTCTGAGAAATGGCTGCGGAGTCACAACTGCATTGAAGCATGCGCATGCGCTGATCGTCGGAAAAGAGAGAGAGGGAAATACAAATAAACGTCACTTGAGCAACCTCACCGGCTGGCATGATCTTTCAACATGGTGCTCTTAATGCTGGCCCTCATCAGGGATGATGGGGTTCACATCACAGCTTTGCTGTGTGGTTGTTGGCTGCCGGGGGCAGCAAGTATGCATCTAATTGTCAACTCAGCGATGCTGCTCACGGAGTTCTTGATCGCTTTCTCTTGTTGGATGTAGGAGTTGAAGTAGTGGAAACTGGCTCCTTTTGGGTAGGAGTCGTTGAAGTCGGGAGCTGATCAGGTTGCTCCGAATGCTTTCGTATCCACTCTGCAGATGCGATGAAGTACTCACGCCACCATGAAGAGCCGTTGGTGGCCCAGTGCCATCTCCATTGTGATGCCGTGGGAGATCGTGATCTGGTGCGGCGGTCCATGGTGCTAACACAACTGGTTGTTTTGCAAAATGCTGCGGGAAAGAGTGTATCAATCGCTGCATACAAGTACATGTGAAGAAAGTGCACTGGCTGTCTCACTTGGCAAAAAACAACGATTGTTGTTTTCACCGTCTGCTGCAATCACCCAATGGTGGTATAAATCATGTTGGATCACCTATTGTTGCGAAGCTTCGAGTCTTTCCACTCGTTGCTTTAGCTCTGTAATCTGCCGGGTTGTTTGCAGAATGAACTCGGCTAATTGGTCGCGTAGAGCCTCGTCACTGAATGTGGAAGGTTCACTTCCGGTTTCGGACTCATAATCCCGATGCTGTGTCAAAATCTCCATGAGGGCTGCGGAGAGAGCTTCACGTCGTGCCTCATCGACGGGTGGCGAATCTGTAATCACTGTATTTGGCGGAAGAGGTGAGTCGCTCATGGCTCGATGTCGGGATTCGAATAGGCGTCACTGTGAGGCAAAACTTCAGAAGGCAGAATTATGGTATTGTCTGAAAGCAACATGTGTTGAGTAGTGAGACTGATGCACTACCTGGCACTTTTTATACCGGCTTGCCTTAGTAGCAAATTCACGACCAATCAGGCGCGTTTTGCCTGATGAGGCTTTCAAGTACGTCGAGCTGCTGTTTGCACGAGGAAAGGATCGCCGTGGTAGCCTCGTGCTGAGTAGTCAACACCGTTGTAGCCTGTTGTATCAGGCGCTCGAGTTTAGCATTCGACTCAAGCAACGAATTGTGAAACTGCGTAATTGCTGCCATAATCTCAGCCGATGAATCTGGCTCAGGGTGTTGCGGAGGTGGAAATGGCGGAGTCGCCGGTGCAGCCACTGCTGCATCCTGCTGTTCTTCCGGATCTTGGTGTTGCTCTTGGTAGTCTTGAAAGTCTTCGTCTTCTGCAACCCGTAGAAACTGAGAGCGCAAAAGCGCCGGCTGTGGGTTGTGGCTGCCCACCGCAGGTTGCTCGTTGCGGCGTCGGCTGTGCTTGGAAATGGATGGTCGAGGACGGCCGCTCAGCGCTTTGTGGCTCGGCTGCAATCTGCCAGTCATGGCACTTTTATACATGATGGTGCCTCAGTTAACGCTGAAAATGGCTGCAGGAAACACTGTGTTAATACATGGCTGCTCTCATATTGCAAGAATTGCACGGCTCTGGATCCACGCACGGCAAACTGGCACAATGTTTTGCTTACAGCTGTTGATCAGTATAGCCGGCCGCGATGTAGAGATCGCGCATGGCTCGAATGGCTAATGTGGCCTCGCTGCATGGTATTGTCACTCTGCGTACCATGCGTGTGCGGGCCTGAAAACTGCTGCGCAGTGTTGAAACAGAGGTGGCTGACTGTGGGTGCAAAATGTCCGCCTTGTGCAAAGTGCATTGATGCGTGAGGCTGCTGTGCTGAGGGCTTATTGCGAAGCCCAGGAAAATGTTGGCCGGTTCAGTTTCAAGCTGAACCGGTGGTTTGTAAAAAGATGCATCAGTGAGCTGTGCAAAAGGAGGCAGTCGGGTCAGCTGTGCAGGTAAAAGAAGGACGCGGTTGTCGACGTATCTAGTAGCAAAAAAGAAGGCTTGATCCTGCTTGTTGTGATCTGGAAAATGCTTGTGGTTCGTGAAAAGCTGTTTGTATGTGTGGTGCCAACACTGTTCCTCGACCGCAACAACAATGTTGCATAAGGCTGGGCTGCAGGGCGAGCCCATAGGTGCACCGCGAAATTGCTCAATAAGTGACGTACCAACAGTGAAGTAGTTGAGTCGGAGCACTGCAATGATAAGTTGTGGTATATGTTGTAATTGAATGCATAGTTTGTTGCCTGAGGAGGCTTCTTGTTTCTTTTGTCTGCTTTTGCCCCTGTGGACTCGATGTGTGGGGTCTTTCTGTGAGTGGTCAATGAAGAATTTAGAAGAGTGTAGGGGGTTCTTTTCTCTGTACCATCGAACCATAATGCTGTATGCTGAAAGAAACCGGCTCTGGTCGACCGATGTGAAGAAGCCAGCCAAATCCTGGTTGTAAAGAATGTAATCTGTTGAATCGTGTGATTTCCTGCGTTGATGCAGGAAGAGTGCTGTTTGCTTGAGCTGTGTTATGCCATCTCCTTGGTGAAAGGAGTTTGGGCATGCTTGAAAAGTCATCAGCTGCAGTACGTCCGCTAAGGCTTCCCACAATTTCCTGCCCATGGTGTCGATGAACGCCACTATGGGACGGCCTTTTGTGAATTGCTTCTTTCTTTTCGGTAAAATGTAGGCGCGTGGGATGCGTCCCCATTGTGGAAAAG